GAGGCTCGAAGCCCTACTGAACTTCCACGTCTTCCTCGTGAACTGGGACCTCCTTGTTCTTAACCAAATGCCTCTACGGCTACCCAGACTGGCCCTTTTTGCACTTTTTCCCAGCTGTCCGCTGCAAACCATTCGTGCTTGTGGTCGCTGAGAAGGTCTGGTAGCCGTGAGTCCCACAAGCTCTGGAGGAAAGGGAAGGACCTCCCCATGCCCCTTCCATCTACAAATCCTCTTTTTCTCCACGTGACTTGGAACGTGGGCATCTGCCACCCCCGCCGCCCCTGAGAGGTTACCTGCAGAGCCAAGCTGGGGGCTTCCGAGCTGCTTTCTCCCCAAAACCTCGCTTCCCTTCCGCTCTCCTTGTCCAGGCCCCGCTGGCTAAGCAGCTCCAGGATCTCCTCAGTGATGGAGAGGTTCGTGGTGAGGGGGTCCCGCGCCAGGGAGAACTCGGCCTCCTCCGCTTCCAGATCCGAGTGTTCGGCTTCCTCCTCCGGCTTGGCGGAGGCCAGCGTGCACGAGCTGCCCGAGGCGTGGAGGGGCTCGCTGGCGGGGAATAGGCGTCCCTCGCTGTCAGCATGCTGCGAAGAAGAAGGGCCGCGTGACTGCCGGGTCGTTACAAGAGCCATCGGGGTTTGTCAAAACGCACATAGGCAATGGCGCACACCTCCCTTTGGGGGCATCCAGCTGGATGGTGTGAGCTATTTTTGACACTGGCATGACTTTAGGACAAATCTTACCTTTGTGTAACACTGCACTGCGAAATAATTCAAGGCATTTTGCAATCATCCATGCCACTCTTAGTTTCAACTTTACAATTCCAGCTAATTTAGGTTCATTAACTTCTCAGAGTTCTAGTGAACATTGATATTTTTTCCTTATTTCTAAAGGTTTAAATTATCTACGTTATTAACAACTTCTAACTTGTATTGTACAAATACCACTGTACCAGCTAATATCTGTATTCTGTAATTAAGATGTATCTGTATTAATTAAGATGTATTAACTGCATCTTATAACACAGTAAAACAATTATTTCTTGGGGGGAGAAAGCATAGTAGGGAAGGGCAGTGTACTAGATATTTATAGCCTTGTATTGTAGGATAAAAAGCCACATATGGATATAAAAGACAAGCAAACAAATTAATCTTATCCATCTGCGCACACCCTAGCAACCACTTCGCCACATGTTCTGGCTGCCAAGCAGTTTGCAAACATCACGGCCTTTAAAAGGATGAGAAACCCAGTACCGAGGAAGCTAAATTTTAGATCGGCCTCACGAGAAGACACCTGTTATTCTTCTCCCAAGATGGTAACAGATAAGAAGGAAAGGTTTTGCTGACCTAATTAAGTCCATAAAATCTAGATTCCCTGCATTCTCTCACCGCCATTTCTCATGCTGCATCTTCTAGTTTGGTGTTTCTCAAACTTGGCCACTTCAAGACATGTGGACTTCATCTCCCAGAATTCCCCAGCCAGCATGCTCCCAGAATTCTGGGAGATGAAGTCCACATGTCTTGAAGTGGCCAAGTCTGAGAAATACTGTTCTAGCTGGTTTAAGCCACTGAACTTAGCACTAATTCAAGGTATTAAATTGCCACCATTTTCTTCACTCTTTGCTAGAACTTCAACGGGCATCTTTGGAATTGCAATGTTTATGAACATTTTCTTTAAAGGATGTGCCTTTTGTTATCTAGTTTGCCTTTCTACTCTCTGATATAAACCAATTTCTGGAAGGCCCTTTCTTAGGACAGAACAGAGGAAAGGAAAAGGAATATCTTCCTATAAGAAACTTCCCTGGAGGAACAGCCAAAGATCACATCTGGGGAACTCACCTTCAATCTGGGCACATCTGAGAAGGTCCCAGCAGGGGAAGGATCAGGGCAGGGGAGAAAAGAAAAGGAAAAAAAAAACTCTCATCAGAGGCATTTCTTTCTTCATGGGAAATTCACAGGATCATTGCATTAATCCATTGCAGCAATTGTGGCAGATGTTTTATGGACCGGGGCCCAATTCCTCTGAGTATTATGCTATAGATCAAGTGTTTACAACTCCCTGAAAATCAAGGGAGTGCCCCAGAGTTGCAGATGATGAAGTGGGCTGTGCCGTTCTGCGTCTCCAAGACATTTCTTGCAATGAGTCACGAAACAAGACCTGCGAAGGCCCAGAGGTGGGGTCCTCAGTACTTCACTGCAAGGAAGAGCCAGCCCTGTTTTTCCGGGAAGCCACAGGCAGTTCGAGGGAAAGGGCAGTTCCCAGGATGGCCTGTTTCTTTTTGCCTCATCTAACCAAGCCTTTGGAGAGAGGCGCAAAACGTTTTACAAAATTAGATGAGAGGACACAGTTGAAATAGCAAAGCCCCCCCCCCCTTTTCCCCCAAGATGAGCTTCTCCTCTGACTCCCTGCTTCATCGGAGCAAAGGACTCCAGCTGTTCTTATTTCAACAACGGAAGGCGCGAACGCTGCGCTGGTTGGAAGGTCTGGGGTCACAAGGACTCCCCGCAGGGCAGGACCCCGACGCCAGGGTTGCGCCCTGCGCTAAGCCACAGACAAGCAGACGGGGGCTGACCTGCCCTAGGTTTTCTTACCCGAAGGGGGTGGGATGTGGAAAGAAAACTCAGCCTCAGAATAAGGAAGCCACCCGAGAGGAATTTTGGGCGTGACCTTCCGTCCTGTATGCGGCCCTGTGCAGGATGCTGACAACGGGGGAGTCTGGCTCCAGACCCACCCACCCCAACTGAACACCCAGAACGAAGGGAAGAAGGACTTACTTGCTGGATGAAATACGACCTGGGATTCCTTGGCGGGTTCTGTAAGGTGGCAACCGAGGGAGAAACGTTAATTTAGATCTACGTTTGCGTGAAGGGAGGGGGAGAGATCAAGAAGATTAATCTGATAATAGAACGAAATCATTCTCAGTTGTTCGGGCTGTCCTGGCTCGATGGGTATTATGACCTCTAAGCCAGTCAAAAGTTGTTCTAGCTGGGTTGGCTTAGATTTCAAGTCCTGCTGAATCCTTTGCAGAGCACCAGCCAGATATTAATAAGGAATCCTGTGAAATCTGGTTCCGAAACCTCACGCCGATGACGTTGCCTAGCTGGGTAATGAAACATCTACAAGCAAACAACCGAGCTCAGAGAGCACCAAGGACTCCAAACCTAGTTCTACATATTCAATTCATGATTTAATGAAATAACGGATTCTAAATGGTATGACAGTTGTAAATTCTTGGTTTACGGACTGGTGTTTTATTTTCCAGCTGCTATGTCTTTTCTCATTTTCTTCTTTTTTTCTTCTATGTAGTCATTTATTACTTAAATGTTTTAAAGTAGATACATTTTTTTTTAATCTTTTTTTTTTTTAAGTCAGGAATCCTGTGAAATCTGAAAGTCTACACATTCTGACGCTGACCTGGAACTTTATCACTTTCGCATTTGGGGTTGACAGTGGTTCTGCCTATGGAATCCAGTGGCTGAAGATTTTAGCAACACGATTATTTTACTGCTGGTTCCTCTCCTCTTTCAAAGAACTTTTGCATCACAGAAGGGACCGTTGTGTTAAAGAGGAAGAAGAGAATGGGCAAGAATTAATAATGAATAACGTTCTTTGTCAAGATAATGGGCTGCATAAGGATGAGCAACCTTGTGGGAAGGGAGCTAGGGACAAACTCAGTGGAGACAGGACAAACATGGTCCTTCAATTTAATTTTAATTATTTTTTCCATTAATTAACTATTGTTTAATTAAGTACCTCCCAGGTATTGCCTCCTGCTGTCACATTCCGCCCAAACTTTAGCAGCTGCTAAATTTAGCACACACACAACCCCACCAGGCTATAGGGACTGTGTTTGTAGAACCAAGTGATGCTTTTGAGTCAGGATTTGGCTCCGAGCAAGAGGGTTGGCTAAAAATAATTAAGATTTCTGATCCCAGACTAGAAGGATTGCTGGAGAGACGATTTTGGGAAACACTCCTCTAACCCCAGATGCCCTACAACAGTGTTTCTCAACCTTGGCGACTTGAAGATGCT